TCTCTTCTCTCTCTCTCTCTCTCTCTCTCTCTCTCTCCTCTCTCTTCTCTCTCTCTCTCTCCTCTCTCTCTCTCTCTCTCTCTCTCTCTCTCTCTCTCTCTCTCTCTCTCTCTCTCTCTCTCTCTCTCTCCTCTCTTCTCTCTCTCTCCTCTCTCTCTCTCTCCTCTCTCTCTCTCTCTCTCTCTTCCTCTCTCTCTCTGCTCTCTCTTCTCTCTCCTCTCTCTCTCTCTTCTCTCTCTCCTCTCTCTCTCTCTCTCTCCTCTCTCTCTCTCTCTCCTCTTCTCCTCTCTCTCTCTCTCTCTCTCTCTCTCTCTCTCTCTCTCTCTCTCTCTCTTCTCCTCTCGTCTCTCTCTCTCTCTCTCTCTCTCTCTCATCTTTCTCTCTTCTCTTCTCTCTCTTTCTCTCTTCTTCTCTCTCTCTCTTCTCTCTCTTCTCTCTCTCTCTCCTCTCTCTCTCTCTCTCTCTCTCTCGCTCTCTCTCTCTCTCTCTCTCCTCTCTCTCTCCTCTCTCTCTCTCTCTCTCTCTCTCTCTCTCTCTCTCTCTCTCTCTCTCTCTCTCTCTCTCTCTCTCTCTCCTCTTCTCTCTCTCTCTCTCTCTCTCTCTCCCCCCCCCCCTCTCTCCCTCTCCTCCCTTCCTTCCTATTTTCGGTCTCACTTTATCTTTTTCATTTCTCTCTTCATTCTTTCCTCTTCTCTCAAATACAAAGAACACATAGGAATATTTGTAGTGCGTTTGTATGAAAGCCCTTCAATTTTTTGCTCAAAATCTGCTTTTATAATTTTTAAGAAAAGTTACTTTAGCTTGATTGAAGAGTATTTTATAGAACATGGTACTTTCTTAATGCATGTGGAAGCTACTTTGGTTTTGCTCAGATGTGTAACATTTCTCTTGCAAGTTATTTTATGGTGTTTGGCAGTCACTGTGTTTCAAATATTAAAAGTATGCCTGTCATGGAGACTCATTTGTGAGTTAAATCTAACAGTGGGAAAAGTCTGAAGTTGCTCATTTTTAAAAGCTTTTTTTTGGCTTGTGTTGTGTTCTGCAAGTTATTAAAAAAAAAAAAAAGTTTATTTTAAGAGAAGGATAATTAAGATTTGTGCCATCCCTGACAGTTGCCCCAGGCAAGCTAGAGGGTGACCACATGTACCGCGTAATCCCTGAGGATGACTCCAGCTTAGAGGTGTCTTCCCCAAGGGACCAACAATCTCCGATCCTCCCCCCTGGAGCACCCCAGCGCAAGGAGACGGACAAAACAGCGCGTCGGAAGGTATTGGATGTAGGTTTAGTTAGCAGTCGGAGAGCGTTCAATTCTGATCGTTTATTTGATGTGACTTAGTTTTGATCTGAGGTAATTTGTAGGTAAGATATGGCTCTCTGATACTATTTTATTGGATTATGATGTCTTAGATTCTATATGATGAAATAGCCTGGATAGTAATTCTACTCTACCTTTTCAACTTTAAACTGTAATATTGTCTCAGTTCATACTAAAAGGTCATTGACTAAGAGTTATTTATTGATCGTTTCCAGCAAGAGAAGTTGCGTTCACGTGAAGAAGCAAGGCAACGTGAAGAAGAGCGTAAACGTGCAAAAGATGAAGAGAAGTTGAAGAAAGCAGCGGAGAAAGAGAAGGTCAGGCAATTTAATTTTTTCAAGGGAGGATTCATATATATTATAATTAAAGCCAATGTATATTTCCCTGAAATACACGTCCTTTTTGCCCATTTATTGGAGTAGTATATGTCAATTATCTGTCTATATACCCATTAAGATAAGTAAAGATGTATATGCAGAAAGTTAATAGGAGTTTTGAGCATGTATATTATTACAGGAAAGAGAGAAAAAGAAAGCAGCAAAGGGGTCCTCCAAGAGTGCAGCCAAGGGACCTCCTCAGCCAACCCTGGAGGACTTTGTCCAGAATGCAGTCACTCTTCCTGGAGAAGTGTGTGTCATTTATAGAAGTTGAGGGACTTGATTCAGAGGGAATATATCGCGTTCCTGGCAACAAGGTCCATGTGGAGCAGCTCACCACAAAGTTCAAAGAAGGTAAGTTACAGAGAGTATGATGTATTTTGTTGGTATTGGTATAGTAAGGAAAGAAACAATCAATCTTTTACTTTCTAGAATAAATGGACTCATATACTGCCCTTTCCTCATTTATAGACAGCAGTGTGAACTTCGCTGAGCTAGACATTCCAGTAAATGCTTACAGCTCTGAAGGACTACAACAATTGCCACCCTTACTGCCACAGAACCAGCTCCTTGAGCTGACCACAATTGCTAGTAAGTATCTGATACACAAACTTTTAACGTTTTTTCCCCCATTACCCTCTCCTTTTCCCTTCCTCTTTCCTTTCCTCTCTCTCTCTCTCTTGTACATCCTTCACTTGTGAACCTTACATTTAGAGGGTCATCGTCAGATTCTTAGCTATTGTTGTTTTTAGCTAAATAGATAGAGTCAAAGAACTTTTGTCATAAAGAGTTACTCTGATGTACAATGCCAAGGGGTTTGTTCACCTTATGTTGTCACCTTCTGTGGATCAAAAGAAAGAGTAGAGTTTAGGGAAGGTTCATATATTTGCATTTATTTTTGTTATTGGGTAGAAAAACAAATAAACTGCTTTTTAAAGCAGCACCAAGTTGCATTGTTTTGTACTGATAAAGGTAAAATTGTTAACCATTGATTCAGCTTCTTTCTGATTTGAAGTGGACTATGGAGACAGTTTGTACTTATTTGATGTTGGTGCATTGTAAAAAAAAAAAAATATATATATATATGGTTGTGACTAGGAAGAATGTGATGTGACCCAGACCTCCCTCTTCTTTCTTAATTCATGTCTCTTACCAGAAGTCAACAGATGCATGAATACAACTGCTTTATTGCTTGTGTGATTTTAAATTTTGCTTCTTTAATCTTTTTAATCTTGATTTTTTCTCTTCAACTTTTATTCCTTTGTTCTTTGTTTTTCGTAGCAACATTATGTAAAGGCTTCCTTCGTTTCAAGAAATGCAGATAACCTAAATGCATGTAGTTCTCATCTTTGCCTTTAAAGCTTTTTCTCTCAGCTGTGTAAACAAAGGCTTCGGGTTCTTTTTCATTAACCTTTTATTTATTTACCCATTTCATCTTTTGCTCACCTAGCAAGATCCTCTCTGATTTCCTGAACTTTGTATCTCTCAGCTGTTGTAAAATTTTACTCCCCATTACTACTTGCCTTACTTTTCCATAGTCTTAATGGTTGATGATATATATTGTTATATGAAAATAGTCAAATTAAAAGTTTTGAGTATATGAAGTGAAGAATTATTAGAGAGGAAGAAAGAAAGAGAAAGAAAGCATGCCAGGTTATGCTAATTTTTGTTACTGTTTATCATTGTTATTATATGTATTTTTCAATGATTTCTAAGCAAGGCTGTTCTCTGTCTTTAAGTTCAGATATGTTTATGTTAGCATAAAGGTCTAATGTTCTTGTCACAAAATTAATCGAAGGGTGACTACTCTTGTATCTATTGGTACAGGCATTGGTGACCGCAGCCTAAGACTTTTGAGGCTGAAGGAGATGCTAACAGGCCTCCCTTCAGTCAACTTCGAGGTTTTGAAGTTCATTTTCCAGCACTTTGTCAGGTATGTGGCCCTTGGATATTTGTAGGTGTATATATATTTTTGCTATTGGGATTACATTACTTTATTATTTTAAGATTAGTATTACAGCTTTCTCTAATGTATTCAGAGGAATGATTCTCTTATTATGGATTTCAAAGTATATGCTTTCATTGTTATATCACTAAATACAGATACTCTCTTGCTAATGTCCCAGCACAGGTCAGTTTCAGCCTGTTTATATTATGCTATATAAATTTCTTACTGTGTTTATGGAAGCCAACATAAAAGAGGAAGATACCTGTTCTTACTTTTTCTTTGTATTTATATGTGAAATATATATGCATATATGTTTGTGTGATATATGACCTTTTTTTTTATTTATTTATTTATTTATTTTTCAGAGTTGCTGAAAACTGTAAATTGAACTCCATGGATAGTAAAAACCTTGCCATTTGCTGGTGGCCAACATTGTTACACACACTGCAGTTTACAGACATCAGTGAATTTGAATCTCAGCGTCCGCACATCGAAGATATAATTCAAACTATGATTGACCAATTTCCTTTCCTATTCCAAGGAAAAGAGGATTATGTCATGGTCTGATATTAACCAGCGTTTTCCTGGTAAACATAACTTCATTTGTTTACATTCAGCTGTGCTTTGGTCTGACAAATCAAAGTGTGGCTCTTGATAAACAAAAAAGGTTATGTTTAGCATGAAAACTTGACCCTAACTCCCCGCAGCCTCTGTTGCTGCATGTCATTTTCCCGTGAGCCTGGAGTGGTAGTGCCACATTTGCCTCTGTGTGGCATTTTCCGATCACCATGGCTCCTTCTGGTTGCTAACTAGACGCTAACAGCCACAACTTGATGGGGCAATGCTTCTTGACAACAGAAACCTGGGTACTTATCCCACAGTGGCAAGTGTAATGAACTACATGCCACTGTGGCAGTGTTAGGAGCATTAAGTCAATGTTGTGGCTCAGTGTTATTGTTGGCTGCCCTGAACTATATGCCAGTTCAGAAAGTGATCAGTATCCTATTATCTAAGACACACAAGTAGTGTGTGCTGTGTATCATAGAAATGACAACCAAAGAAAATTATCTTCCAATTTAGTGGAATGATAAAAATGATTGTGATTAAATCAAGCAAACTAGATGAATATTAAAAATAAAAAACATAAAAAAAAGTGTCAAATTGTTGTATCAGCAATATTGACTGTAGATATAAACTTGAGTCACCTTTCCATTAAAATAAGTCTCTTTTACTCTGCCAGAAGAAAACCACAGAAGTTCTGTATCAGATGAAGGTTATTATGATCATAGTTTACCAAATCTGACGAATGAATGTCTGTAATGAGTGTTGTCAGGCCAGCATTGAAACAGTATTTTCCCTCTGGGATTTTGAGAAAGAGAGAGAGAGAGAGAAAAAAAAAAAAACTTGTAGAACTAAATGATGAAAGGAATAAAATACATTTTATAGTAGAAAAACTATTTCAGGATTTTAGTGTTATGATAAACTAACATTGGATTGTTGACAAATGTAAATTAATGCAGCTTACAGACTGTTAAATGGTGAGTACTCTTCTCATGAGCGTAGCATTCGAGTACTTATGGATAGCATAAGAGGTAGCCTAATGCCAGGCTGGAACTCATGAGTTACAGCCAGAGCTTTTAGTCACAGATTAAGCTCATGTTCCATGTTGTGTCTCCAGTACCAGACAAGATGCCAGTACCTATGTGGTATCTGACATTCCAGCCTGTCACACAGTTATCGAGTGCCATCATGTAGATTTGATCATTTTCAAAAGACTTGATTAACAGTTTAAAATAGATTGTTTTTATTGGGGTAAAGTTTAACCTGCAGCCTGGTGCTTTCTGAGCAGAGTCCAGCACATACAAGGGAGTGAAAGTTCTTGCCCTGCCACAGTTGGTGCCACAGAGGAAGGGTTCCATCATGTCAGTACTTGGTAGATGGAGCAGCATCTTCTAAATGGCAGTGGCACGTGTTCCCTGGGAAGACATTTCCCTCGCCGAATTGTGTGTCGCTTCCCGGAGGACTGTCACTCAGCACACAATGTCTGGTGCCTCTCAGGAGAAGTTTTGCCTCCCTGGTTATATCAGGTACCCCCAGCCCCTCCCATCTACCCTTCCCCATTTCCCCTAGAGAAAGCTAGAATTCCAACCCCAATCCGCTGGAATCATTAAGGGTAACCCGTGGAGAGTTGCACTTGTCAGGCAGTGTCAGATGATCCCTAAGGGAGTTGCAGTGCAGTTCAGTTTAAGGAAAGAATTGATCTTGGTGGTGGTGTCTGGTGCTTTTATTATATCCAGTCACCTGGCACTCTGGAGGTGCCCCCTTAGGAGCATCATCTCACCAAATTACTGGCATTGTCGTGTGAAGTGATCCCTCCTGTGGATTTTCCAGTCCTTCCTGGGTAAAGTCCCAGCTCCCTGGCAGTGTGCATCACTCTCAGGACAGTGTGGGTGGAGTCCCATAGTCACATGTATTTACCTGCTGTGACAGGAGCTCACATATCAAATTGTTGAGTCTGTGGCGTTAAGCATTCCAGTGTACAGCAGTGCTGCTTCTCACTTGTGGATCATCATTTAACGTTCTCATAACGTTAGCATCCTGCCAAGTTATATCAGCATTTGCGAGGGGAATCACTTTGTAACCTCATTTTCATTGCACAAGCACATCGAGTTGTGTCTGTGTACCTCCAGTTTGCTACTGTAAAAGAGATTGATATTTTGATTATTGTCTAGTGATCTGGCTGGTCGTTATAATACATTTACTCTATTCAAATTTAGGAAATCAATTTTTTTTATATATATATATATTTCCTGTTCTGTCCTAGGTTTTAAGTCATTCTTAAGCATTAGCCATAGGTTTGTTCACATCATAGTTTTTATTTCTATGAACTCTATATACAAAGATGTGTTCTCAAATTGACCAAAAAATGCTTTGTTTAAATATGTACAATAAGTGACTCAGGGTCAGTATGAACTGACATTATTACCTGTATGAATGATAGTGCCATAGTGTGCGGCAAGGACAGCAAACAGTGCCAACGCCATTGTCGACGTTCTGTCTCATTGTCTTGCTAGTTGCTCCCTGTTCTTTATTTTGTTACTTTGCCTTGTTTAGTGTTAGCCACGTGGCTGCCAAGTGGTACTATGTGTGAACTTAGCGCTATTCTGTGTCATGCAGCGTCGAGTGGTGGCAGGAGCAAGAACAAGATGAGACAAGGGCAATGATCCCCCACAAATATCAGCACAAATTACAAAGAGTATCTCCAGGAAGTAAGCTTCCAAATTAGCTGGTGCCAGCTTCCCAGCACCACAGTTGGGTGCCAGATGTACAGCCTATTGCATAATATCTTCCTTGCCTTGTTTTTTTGTAGTCAAGCAGATATAATGATTTCATGTTGAAAGAAAATTAATATTTATTGTACTGATATGACTAAGGAAATTCATTTTGAATCAGTAATGAGAATTTTTCTTTTTGGCAGTTTTACTGCTGATAAGTGATTGCTATGTATAGATGTGTATGGACTCAAGTTGTCATTTGGGCAGTTTTGTAAATTACAAATTTTCCAAGAAAGTTTTATTTGAGTTTCATGCAGTTCATAAGATCAGTGAAGGTCACTTCATGTGGTATGGTTTATTACTTTTCCTTCTGTTTATATTGATTTTATTATAGTTTTTAAAACCTAACTACCTGCATATATATTTTTTTTAACATGAGTGTAGGGACTGGTTATATTATGTAACTTAAACAGCAAATGCTAGTCAACATGCCCTGCCCACTCGACAGCATCATGTAAATTTATTAATGTATTGCACTACATATTCTTGAATTCATTGTATAAAGTCTTACAGCTATACAGACTTGTACAGCATATGTGACGAGTGAGAGATTCCATGTACAGTGGACAGTGAAAGGAGTTTTGAGGGTAGTATACTATATAATGCATATTTGGATTAGTATACTACTAACTATGAATAAAAGGCATTTGCATTTGACATTTGTTTTATTGCAACATTGATGGTTAAAGTTGAAGCTAAATGTAATTAAAACATTGGCAATTCTTTTAAATAATTGCCTTTTAATGTTAATGCCCTGATATAAAACAAAATTCATTTTAGCAGAACTCTCTGCAATGTGTTACTTGAAATATTGTCAGAATACATAATATAGAAGTAACAGTGATGGACATGTCTCATAAATCTCTAAAACAAGTCTTACAGATTTTGTAAATAAAAGTAAGATCCTCCTGCTAAAGCTTTGGGTAATGGCTTACATTTAATGTGTAAAAGATTACAAGAGTAGTAAACAATTTAAGATATGAAGAAATAAAAATTTAGTTGGTGCTACATTCTTTATTTCTACATTCTTTTACACAGCAGATACATAAAAGGAACATGCTGTTTGCCTGTAGCTGACAATTTACATATAACAGAAAATGGTCATATAAAATATCTTATGAAATGAAAGGGGAGGGATAAAACAAGAATAAAGGACAAATACATGTAATGTTTTTCTGGCAGATTTGGAGGCAATCCAAAACTATTTGGAAACAGATTGTTTCCTTTGTCCCACCATTTAGCTTTTGTTACTTTTAATTAGACTTAACACTGACATTGACAATAGATGCTATGAACTTAATGATAATTTGAACAAGTAGACATTTAAAAGCATTTAAAATTTTGGAAATCTTTTATACTAATGTGTTTACTCTAGGATGACTGCAATGAACATTGAGGGGTGTTTTGCATTTTTAAAAAATTCTTACTGACTTGACGCACACGCACACGCAATGCACATTCAATTACTCACCCAACCACGCCCACTTATTCAATTAGTCGCTCAGCCATCTTCCCACCCAGTCACTCAATTACTCACCCACCCAGTCAATCATTCACTCAATTACTCACCACCTGTCCATCCACTCATTTACTATATAACCCACTCATTCACTCACCCACCCATCCACCACTTGCTCAATTACCTACCATAACATCCACAATATAACCAACTCATTTGCTTACTCTCATTCTAATCCTCTGTCTCTATCTCAATCTCAACCCCCCCTCTCCCTCTATCTCATTTTCAACCCCTCTCTCAAATCTCTCCCAATCCTCTCTCTCTCTCTCAATCTCACTTTCTATTTCAATTTCACTTTTTTCACTTTCATGCTCTATTTCAATCTCACTCATAAACTCAATCTCACCAGATCTCTCTATCTCACACTCATTCTTTCTCTATCAAAACCTCAAACACATCTCATACTACCTCAATCTCTCTCTCTCTATCTTAGTCTCACATTCTCCCCTTCTCTATATCTTTGTCTACCTCAATTCTTTCTCTCTACTTCACTGTCTATCTCAGTCTCAATCTTTCTATCCCAATCTTACTCTTTGCCTCTCTATCTTGACATTATGTTAGTGCAAGGGGTAGATAGGAGTAGTAAATGGAGAAGGATAATTATTGATGGGTGGGGGAGGGATAAGGATAGAGGGTGTTTAGATCAAATGGGAAAATTTATGCATCTAAGGAAGAAGAATATGTTGCCAAAGGAAAAGGTAGGGAGTTCTGAGATGATGTCCGATAGGCTGGGGGTTGGGGACGTGAGAATAAGTGAGGAAAAGCAGAAATGCGGGTTGCTGTGAAGCGGGGACAGGATAGTAGGATGTGTGTGACTGAAAGAGGGACATTGCATGAGGAGCACAGAGGTGGATCGGATTGTGACATGAAATAGGAATGTGTGAGGCGAGTGTGTCTAATGCGTAGGTGGGCAAGAGTAGTTTCCCAGTGTCTGTTCTTATGGGATGCTATTGACCAAGGAGAGATGGAAGGTTTAATGTTATGTAGTTTAATCCAGACTAGAATGATTGCCAGCGGGTAAAGAGGAAGGTTTTGACATGAGGGTAGTAATCTGAGGTTGGTATATAAGAAAATCTGGGATGATGGGATGTGGACAAGGCAGCAGAGTGTGCTAGTGTGTCTGCCTGTTTATTGCTGGGGATCCCAAGGTGACTGGGCATCCAGCAAAAACTGACAGTTTTATTGCATGGTCCTGAATTTGCAGACAATAGGGTTAATTCATTATAGAGACTGTATAAGAGACAAGTTTTTAAGAGTCGGTGAAAATTGTGAAGGATGAGGAAGTATTATTACTAAATAGACATATGTTCTGATGTGAAGAGGATCGCATACAATTCAGGTGGAAGTGGAAAGTACGAGAGGGGATGATTGCTTTAAAACCAACGCCAGAGATGGATTTGGACCATCTGTATAAATGTCAGTGCTGGAGTTGGTTGAAGTATGGTTGAGAAAATGAGGGAGACAGCCAAGGTGGGTATTTATGGTTAGCAAAAGGTAAGGGCCGGTAGAGAAGAAAAGGTGAATGGAAGGAGTGCATCCATCCGGACAGAGAAAGGAGTATAGACATGGAGAGGAGGTAACGCTAGGGATAAGAGACAGAGGGAAAGTTAGTTTATAGAGAGAAAATTGGTGAAAATGTGCATAACTCCGGAGAGAGAGAAGTGCATGGCATCGGGATAGGGAAAGTGGGCCGCATTCAACGTCTAGGCTCTCAACAAGAGAGGAGCGGAAGGCACCAAGGGTTAATCATAGACCGCAATGATGGATAGTATCAAGGCGAGTTAGAAGAGAGGTAGAGGCAGAGTAGCTATGATAGTCATAGTCAAGAGTGGAGATAATCAGTGAAGTATGGAGATGGAGTAGGGTTTTGCTATCTGAACCCCAGGATATGTGAGTGAGGACCTGCAGGAATCGGAGAGGATGGGTTTCTCTTCAATGTAGAGGATGTGGTCTTGACAGGAAAGTATGGAGTCATTTTGCCAGATGAGCGGAAGTGGAGAGGTGCATCAAATAGAGAGAGTGGAGGTTGAGGACCTACACATGATCGGGAAAAAAGGATGGAGAAGGATTTGGACGTGGAAGAGAGGAAGCCATGGTTTGTGGCCCAAGAAGAGGTTAAAGATATTGCATGAATTTGTTGACGGAGAGTAGGTATAGATGGACCTGATGTAAAGATACTAAATCATCTACATGTAGGGAAGATCAGATACCTGGTGGTAGAACCGATATTAAGTTGTTTAAGGCTATGAGGAATAGCTACCTTGTGGGCCGCCTTCATATTGAGGAAAGGCTGAAGAAGTTGAAGAACATTTGACTCAGAAGGCTCGATTAATAAGGAATGATATAATGAATACATCCATGTTCCCTCGAATGCCATGAGGTGATAGCTGCTGTAAAATGTGGTATCTCCTTTTCCAGGTCAAAGAAAACCGCTTATACTGAGTTATGGCATACAAAGGAAGAAATGTAATTTTCAGATTGTGAAAGTGGATCAGCTGTGGTTTGAGCACGGCAGAATCCAAATTGGCAGGATGAGAGAAGGTGTTGGCTTCTAGATACCACATTAGGCATAAATTTACCATTCTTTCTAAAAATTTGTACAAGCAGCTAGTCTGGGCTATGGGTCAGTAGCCTTGAGGGAGGGTACCTGATTTATTAGGTTTAAGAAAGGGTAGAATGAGTGCTTCGAGCCAGTGAGGAGGAAAGTTTCCAGTCGTCCAAATATTGTTGAAGATTTTTAGTAGGAAGGATATGGAAGAAGTGGAAGGTGTCGTAGCACTGTACTGATATAGCATCATAGTCAATAAGGCAGGCAAGTAGGTCTTCTTCACAGTCTGACCAATCCTTGTTATAGACAGGTAATTACCTAGGGAAATTGAAAGAGTTCCTGTACAAGTATAAAGGGAGGGGTGGGGTTCAGGAAAAATTGGTCTTCCAGTGAGGTCAACCAGGAAGATTTTGCATGGGCTTGAGACTCGTGTAACTGTAATAAGGTGTGAGCGATCTGGACAACAGTGGAAGGAGGACTTTGCCTACTTGTTTTGGAGGCAATGTTCGAAAAGTAGGGTATTTTCAGAGTAGGGGCTGTAGGGAATAGCAAGAAATCTGTCCCATTTGGCTGGGCCAAACTGAGTATGCAAAAGGGTTGCAGAGGTGGATATTGTAGAAGGACGAGGACGGGAGGAAGAGGGGCTGGTGTGGAATGATGTAGTGCGGTGATGGGGAGGGCAATAAGGTTGAAGAGTTGTAACAAGGAGGAGGATGTACGAAATGGAGTGGGTGTGCAGATGGGGTCAAAGATTATGGAGTTGAAGGAGGGTGTCTTTTGGAGGTTGAGTTATCTCTGTAGATGGTTCAGGATGGGTTAAGCTGACAGCAGGTGTCAACGAGGGGGGTGTAGTAGCAGTGGTCTTAGAAGTGGTCAAAGGGGAGTCAGGGATTGGTAAACCAGAGGAGTTTGATTCAGGGAGGTTAACTGATAAAGGGACAAGCCTCAATGCCCTTAACACGGGTACAAAATCTTCATTACTGGCCATGGGAAGCCTGAAATAAATGGGGATGATAAACAGGGCTAGAAAATTACTAAGGGAATACTGTGCCCCTGGCTTCCTGATGCCATTCATGACTGGCCCAAAATCATCCTTTCAACACGGCTCCCACACTTTAGGAATTGGACTGAGGAAGAAGTTGGGGAAAGTAAGGGAAAGAAAAGGAGAAAAGACCATGCAAAATTAGTTGAGCTGGGGGCTGAGGTTCAAGGCAGAGGCGATCCCCTATATTGGGCCCAGTCTCTGTTTCCTAAGCCTCCCTATGACAACAAGGGGCAAGGATTGGGGGGGATAACATTAATGAAAGGATGATGCCTTTCACAAAATAAGTTCAAAGAATAACCTATGAAAGCCACCTTATTTTTACAAAGATTACATGGTTAAAATTCAATGTATCAAAAAAGCTTGTACTAAACCTTCTGTATACAAAATCTGGATTTCTTACATTCTAAAAGAGA